GCTCCTGTGGAGCTGCTGTTACAGATAACATCTGGTGGGGCCCTGACGGCAACCCCTGCCTGCCGAAACACTTCTTTCATCACTACACCAAACTCGCACACAGTCTTGACCATGTGTCCAAAGGGGGAATATTAGGCATCATAACACAGCACTGGTTCACAAAAGGGTTCTCTACCTATGCTCAGAAATATTGTCAGTCATGTATGATTTGTGCAACTAACAATCCAGGTAAAACAACACCACTCACACAACAAGCAGCACAACCTACAGTATTGCTCACAATAATAGCAGTACAATGTGACTAACCAGAATAATCCAGGTTTTTAGTATATTTTTTATTGCTACATGGCAAACAAGTTACCAGTAGGTGCAGTAGATTCTCAGAAAGCAAACAAGACCCAGCATTCATGATATGCACGCTCTTAAGGCTGTGCAATTGGGCAATTAGTTGAAAGGGGTGTGTTAAAAAAATAGCAGTGTGGCATTCAATCAGTGAGGTCATCAATTTTGTGAAATAACAGGTGTGAATCAGGTGGCCCCTATTTAAGGATGAAGCCAGCACTTGTTGAACATGCATTTGAAAGCCTGAGGAAAATGGGTCGTTCAAGACATTGTTCAGAAGAACAGCGTACTTTGATTAAAAAGTTGATTGGAGAGGGGAAAACCTATAAAGAGGTGCAAAAAATTATAGGCTGTTCAGCTAAAATGATCTCCAATGCCTTAAAATGGAGAGCAAAACCAGAGAGACGTGGAAGAAAACGGAAGACAACCATCAAAATGGATCGAAGAATAACCAGAATGGCAAAGGCCCAGCCAATGATCAGCTCCAGGATGATCAAAGACAGTCTGGAGTTACCTGTAAGTACTGTGACAGTTAGAAGACGTCTGTGTGAAGCTAATCTATTTTCAAGAATCCCCCGCAAAGTCCCTCTGTTAAAAAAAAGGCACGTGCAGAAGAGGTTACAATTTGCCAAAGAACACATCAACTGGCCTAAAGAGAAATGGAGGAACATTTTGTGGACTGATGAGAGTAAAATTGTTCTTTTTGGGTCCAAGGGCCACAGACAGTTTGTGAGACGACCCCCAAACTCTGAATTCAAGCCACAGTACACAGTGAAGACAGTGAAGCATGGTGGTGCAAGCATCATGATATGGGCATGTTTCTCCTACTATGGTGTTGGGCCTATTTATCGCATACCAGGGATCATGGATCAGTTTGCATATGTCAAAATACTTGAAGAGGTCATGTTGCCTTATGCTGAAGAGGACATGCCCTTGAAATGGTTGTTTCAACAAGACAATGACCCCAAACACACTAGTAAACGAGCAAAGTCTTGGTTCCAAACCAACAAAATTAATGTTATGGAGTGGCCAGCCCAATCCCCGGACCTTAATCCAATCGAGGACTTGTGGGGTGATATCAAAAATGCTGTTTCTGAAGCAAAACCAAGAAATGTAAATGAATTGTGGAATGTTGTTAAAGAATCATGGAGTGTAATAACAGCTGAAAGGTGCCACAAGTTGGTTGACTCCATGCCACACAGATGTGAAGCAGTTATAACAAACTGTGGTCATACAACTAAATATTAGTTTAGTGATTCACAGGATTGCTAAATCCTAGAAACAAAAACGTTTGTACAACATAGTTTTGTGTCTGTACAGTCAACGGCAGACACTGCTATTTTTTTGAACACACCCCTTTCAACTAATTGCCCAATTGCACAGCCTTAAAAGCGTGCATATCATGAATGCTGGGTCTTGTTTGCTTTCTGAGAATCTACTGCACCTACTGGTAACTTGTTTGCCATGTAGCAATAAAAAATATACTAAAAACCTGGATTATTCTGGTTAGTCACATTGTACTGCTATTATTTTGAACAATACTGTATACAGTAATTGAACATATTTTCCAGAAGGCCAACAATTCACTAAAAATGTTATTTTTATAGGTCTTATGAGATATTCTAATTTATTGAGATGCACCTGTATTTATTGGACAGTTAATTTAGACTATGTTTAAATGGTTAAAAGTATAAAAATGGAAAGATTAATGTTACTATTGACCAGTCATTACTTGAAGTTTGGAATAATGGTCATTTTGAGCTGCTAAATTAAACCAAGATATTATTTTTGTTGTGGAAGTGGACTTTTATGTGGCTTGCTGAAGTGAATGACACTGGAAGAGGAAGAGACATGTGCACGGAGCGAGTAAGACAGGTTTGCTATCCTTAGAAAATTCAACCTCCACAGGAATATTTGGCCATTAAAGTGCTGGACAAGTTACGGCTCAGTTTATGGTGGCGCTAGAGGTGGTCTGTTTTCACTTTCTCATTAAGGACTGTCAGCAAGGCTGTAAAAACGGGCCTCAAAGAGCACCAAGATAGAGAGAAAGAGGAAGTTCCAGGGGAGGTTGGAGAAGGCAAAAGAATTATTAAAATGCTATGGCAGAATGCTTAGAAAGTTAAGCTTTTAATAAGGATAATCATAAGATGATTTATGTGTGTGTTTGTTGAAATAATCATAATTGTATTGAAAGAATGGAATAAGTGATTTTACATCTAAAAAAAGAGTGAGAAAATACAAGAATCACAGAAAAGAGGAACTACAAAAGTTCATGTGTGCATGGCACACAGAGAAGAGACACACAACATATTGAGGAAGTAATGAAAATGAATGTTCCATCCACAAAAGTAAAGATTTGACTGATAATGTTTGATCAATGTCTAACCAATGATAATGTATAGTCAAGTAATGTATTCAAAATATAAAAATCTAGGTTTTGATTTTAAGGCATTGATAGTTTTGTGTAAAATCAATGTGTAATTCTGATTGATCCGTTAAAAGCAATGATGGGATTTTGATATTTCAATCAGATGCGAGTTTCTTGTATCTTTATAAGGTATTAAGATGGTTTTAGTTTTCTAGGAAAGAGGCTCCAAGATCCAAGGCTGGATCACAGCGGGGTGGAGGCCGGTTACGGGCAGTAGGCTTGAGCTGTGACAGTAAAAATATGCAATACTTCAGAAGAACATCACTTTGCACGCCAAATAAAGTATCAACTGTAAACTGCGGCATCTGGTTGGATAAGAGGACAAAGACTACTGACCAGAATCCTATAAAAACCCAGGCGAAAAGAGGAACGGGGAGTCCTTCCACGGCTGCAGCCGGAGGCTCTCTCCAGTTGACCGTCTGACTTCCAGGAGACAGAGGATTGCGGAGAGGCAATCCGGGCAGAGCACCCCTCTGGGGGTACTCCCCCACAGGCACCTGGCTTGTGAGGGTGAGATGGATGTCGACAAGGGAGAAAGAGCACCTTTCTGTGGGTGTGAGATGGATGTCATGTTGGAAGAGAGAGCCCCCCCCTACAGGCACTGAACTTGTGAGGGTGAGATGGATGTCGACGAGGGAGAGAGAGCCCCTTTCTGTGGGTGTTCCCCCGCAGGCTGTTCCAGCCTGTGAGGGAGGAATGGATGTCAACGTCGGATGATAGAGCTGTGGTAGAGCCAGTTGAAAACTACCTACTCACATGAAAACTGAATTCTTGCTTAAAAGTTGACTGAAGAGGAAATTAAGGATTTTAACAAAATGCCACAATCCACCCGGTTAATTCTCAGTCAAAATTGAACCAGAAGAGAATGAGATTTTCTTGATGAGTTTTGATTTATCTATTTGTTAAGTTTTTCCTTGTGAAAGCTTGCATCATGGCAAAAAGAAAAAAGAGGAACAAACGATGGCCCAATCTGCCACCGTCCTACCCAGAGCCAGCTGAGAGTCAGATTGTGTGAGAAAAATCTGTGATGATCAGATTGCGAGCTCAGCACCAACCATAATAATTTTAATCAGTATGATCATTTTAGATTTATATTTAAAAATAGCAGCTGTTGATTTATTTAGGTTGTAAGCCAATCAAGACAATTGATGATTTTAATGCTATATTTTGCTGTAACTCTAAGCTTCTATATAAAATTCCTGAAAAGGTTTAATACTTTCTGTGGTTATTGAGTCAAGTTTTGATGATACTGATTCTTATAATTTTAGTGGGTTTACACTTTTAAATGGTAATTGTTAAAGTTGCACATATTGCACAATTCCTAGCGAGTGTGATTACCTAATTCCTAGCGAGTGTCTGAGGTTGCATAACAGTTCACAGGGTTGACAGAAGGCAAAATTGAACTGCTAAAATGATTTTAGACAGTTACATTAGAAAAAGGTTTATCTAAAATATCCAGTTGTTTACTTGTTACATAATATACACTATTCTTTAAATATCTTATCCTTAACATCTTATGTCAACTAAATACTGTGCAAAACAAATATGGTCTTAAGTGTCCAGTGACACAGCTTTCACTGGCTATTTCAGACAAAATTTAACACTTCCTCAAAAAGCCAGAGTATACTGGTTTATAAAAATTTCTCAGTACAGTAACATCTGAGGGTTTAAGGAGGTAGCTGCCACAATAACTGCAGGTTGTTGTTATTTGGGAGGTTTCGGGGTCTTATCCTGAATTAATAACATGAAAGACAGGAGGTCTGCAGGGAACTCTGTTTGCAGGTTCATGATAGTCAATTACTGAGTGAATATATCCATCATAAAACCTCAAGCAGTGTTTAGAGGTTTAATATGTTTCAAATATGCCACCTTAGTATGAGAGGTTAAGCTTTATTCCTATGTCCAGGGGTTAGCATATCATGGCCCTCATACAGGATCAAGTGTCAAAGAACGTTTTGAACCTCTGTTGGTTTAGTTATAGTAGTAGGTTGGGGCCATTCTGATCCACACTCCAGTCTATAAGGTGGCGGTAATGCACCTAAAGCTGGTTGCCAATTGCCATTAAACTGCAGCAGAAGACGACAAACTACTGGCGGAAGTTCACTCCAACAGGCCGTTTCCTCAGAGCAAAGAAGCCGAGCTTTGTTTAACAACTAACCACGGGCTAACCTGTTTGAGATGCTTCAGTCTGGCACAACCGGTCCACTGTTGGAACTGCAGACACTCCTCTGGTGCTGGTCTCCAACTCCGACACTTTATGCCTGAGGACCTACAGACAGGGTAAGAGCCAGCTTTGGTGCTTTAATCTACACACTGCCTGCTTTGACACAGGAAGGTCAGAGGTCTGCAATCTAATAGAATGAGACCGTTTTGAACTTTCACCATGAAGTGTATATCCTCAAACTGTGAAATAAAAATCTGGGGACTTGAACACTGCAGCCTGCACATCACTGGTAATGGATTCAGGCCTAGTGCAGGCCAAGGTTAGGGTGGACCTGCTGCCAGTAATAAATAGAAACCACATACCTCTACTTTCTCCTGCTCAGCGATGAATTCATCCACATGCACATAATTATCTTCCAGACTGTTCATAGCACTCTGGTAAGCGTGTGCTTTGATAGCCTCCTTGTACATCTCAAACGTGTTCTCCAGCTTTTCTTGGTAGCCTTCCTTCAGCTCCTCTACCTCTCGTCTAAACATTAAAAGCACATTCTCTTCACTAAGTTCCTTTTCATTCTGACTAACACGTTTACCAAGACAGCCTGCCTGCAGACAAAGATGGCGGACTGCTGATCTCGGCAGGAAGTGGTCTATACAAGCTGGAAGCAGGAAGCCTCTCCAGAAGGTTTACCAGGCCAACCTATGGAAAAAACTGACAGCTTCTGCCTGAGGTTGCCAGTCCACTGTCTTGTTGACATGACGCCATCTTTGTTTGGACACAGGCTCTCCTCATTTACTTTGGGAGAAATTAATCCTGACCGTGAACGTACATAGTTCAAGCTAAAGCATTCTGCACCAGTTTGCTGAACAAATGGAAAATAAGCATACCTACGGAGCTCTTCACTTTCCATGAGCTGCTGCAACATCGCATCTCCCATTTCCTTGCGAATCTCTATTTCCTGTTCCAGGTTTCTTCTTCTCTCAGCCAGCAGTTTTGTTCGGAGGCTTTCGAGCATATTCACAAGCTCCTAGGAAAGTTCAAATTAAACATGGATATGGTGCCATCATGCAACAATCCCAGGTATGTCACTACTATTTCTGACACTACTGAGCACATACTGCATTTCTAAGACCTTTCCAAACAATGAGCCTCATGAAACCTTCCAGCCAGTTCTCATTTTCAGGGCATCGAGTACTGATGGTTTACATTTGACATCTCATACAGAGGCTGAGGAGCATCTTTTTGGTTTAAACTCCAGATTCAGCCACTAACTCTTCAGCCAACAAGTTTCTCTGTTCATGACTCGTACAAATGGCTCTGTGAATTTTGTTCAGGTAGAAAAATAAGTGCCACAAATTAAATCTCTTCAGAAACTTGTCTATGAGCAGTTCTTCCATGAGGCTCATTGTCCGAAGGTGACACACAGATGTACATTCTGTGGCAGCAGAGAGAAGTCAGCCTCATCTTCATCAAGCAGCTCCTCTTCTAACAGGTAGGTGTCCAGGGGCTGGTTGTCAATCATCCCATTCCTCACCAGAGTTTTGCCATCACAACCAACCAGGCAAGGAGCCAGAGACTCCAGAGGTTTGTGTGTGATCACCTGCAGACAGCACAGATCAGTGGTTAACTGGATGTGCTATAGCTGACTGAGCTCAGGATGCGGGCGCTTGGACTAACCTGTCTGGCAACAGCTGAGAATTTCATGACATGGAGAGTCTCGTCATAGGTGGAAGCACACTGGTTAATGTTGACGATCATTGATGCTCTTCCACTGTCACAGAAAAAAGCTTGGAAGAGCTTTGTGAGTTTACTCTCTCTGAAAGGAATGTAGCTGCTCTTCGTTCTGGTGAGCAACAGGAGAACAAGAGTGTTCAATCACACAAAAGCACAAGTTGGAGCCACCCCTACCGGAAGAGTTCCCACTTCAGACACGTGTACTTTGGCTAGAACCACCATCAGCAGGCGGTCTGATATAACAGAACTCGGTCACTTCAACGTGCATCATCTACAGCTCACGGCTTGTGCAGCTCACGTTTTCATACACAAAGGCAAGTCAAAGTGCTCAACACAATGCACACAGATAAAACATTAAAATGCATATATAGATCAAGTTAAACATTAAATATAACAATTACAGCCGTGGGCAGACACTGTAGCTGTGGATTCTCACCGCTCTCGTTGTACTTCGTACTCCTACATTTGCATTTTTGTGTTAAACGCAAAGCTGAACAGTGAATGACAAACATGTTCAGAACCAACAGTACCCGTCAGTCTGATTGTTGCGAAGGGCGGTGATGCACTTCCCCAGGATGAGCAGCGAGTTGTTTATGTTCCCCGCCTCCTTCAGCCTTTCTCCAATTGTGTTGGTTTTGTTACATCTTTCTGAGCCAGCCAGGTCACACAGAGAAAACCTGAGGGAATAAAAAGTCATTTGTAGTGTAGTGGTTGAAAACAAACAAGGTTCCAGAGGTACTATGTAATAGAAGAGTATATAGTTCATATTTAGATATTATATGTAATAATTGTGGATGCAAGGCTGAGCTAAGGGTGTATGGAAGCTTGATCTGTTTCTGGCGCAGGCAAGAACATCTTGGGCTGTGTCCCCCTTGTTTAACCTATGGGTCAACATCCCGAGTGACTTCCTCGTCAGACAGGGAATGGATATACTGTAGCTGCAGCCTTATGTGAACTGTTCGTGTGCTCTGTTCAGGTTTAGAAAAAGGAAATGTACGCTAGGTCAATGCAACCTAGAAGTTCATGTACTGGACAGCTTAGACAATGCTCGGAAGAAGGTGTGTGTGGGTAGCTGGCATGGGACCGCGTCTTCATGGCTCAGGCCATGGAGGGCTGTGTAAGTGCGAGCAGATAAAAAGCTGTGTTAGAGCAGAAGGAGAGAGAGTGTGCTACTGGGACAGTAAACTGTGTACTTTTTGGGGACCCAGTTGACAGAAAGACTGACTCGTGACCAACAACAACTGACTGGACTGGCGCTCTGACATTCTTCTTCTTTAATACTGTATCCATTCCATCTTTCTCTGTTTCCCTAACTACAAGATTATCTGTTTAAATACTACTCTATTCAGAATAATTGTAATATTAAATGATCCTTTAAATTGGGATGGTTTGTGTGAATTAATTTAGTCGTCATCACACTCTAGCCATGACAGTAGAAACTGGTTTTTCCTTACTGGTTTATGTAAAATCATTTTTTCTGTGTTCCTGTGTGTTTTACCAAACCAGACTCATTTTTGGAGCCTAGATTCAACCGACTGATCGACCACACAGAAAAAATATTCACGGGCAGGATAAAACCACAAACACACTGCTCGTTTAAATGTGGCGACGGCACCAGATACTCACTCAGACATCCTTCGAACTGCACTGCCTTCAATCTTCAGTAGCTTCATGGTAAATATGCTGTGGCTGTAACGGAAGCTGGCGTGAGATAATAAAACACGAGAAGACGCACCAAGTAGAGAAATGTGAGGTTTACCTTCTGCTAGAGGACTGGTTCATCTTTGTAGCTGCAGCGCTTCTTTTTTTGTTTCCAAACTGCAGTAGTTTGCAGGCTTCACCCATGTTCTGGATGTTGACCCACCTGAGACCTGGAATGAATTCAATCATCACAAGTTCTCTGTTGAATCTTTGAGCAACAAGGATGAGATGATGTGATCCAATCAAAAATGCAGTGACTACGAGGTATGACTAGCTGCGCATGTTTTGTACTTTATTCCTCTTTTAGCACTGGCTTGATTATGTGAACAACCAGATATACTGACTTGTGTCCAGTTAAACTGTCTTATTCATATAAAGTATGAAGTCGCTGGTGTATGGACACAACACAATGTATATCGCTAGATAAACCGATGCATATTGTGATGTTTTATATCGTGATATATTGAATTTCAATATACTGTCCCCAATACGTTTGCTGGTGTCCTTCTTCCAGCTTAGGAACACAAGACAAACTCCTGTTCGTACCTTTAACATACGCATTTCCAGTACTGTCCTCGCGTACACGCAGAGCAGGACGTCTCATGAACTTGGAGCACAAGGCAGGTTGAAGCAGATCATACACACACTCATTGTAGATTTCAAAGAAGGCCACCCATAAGGCAAACTGGCTGCTGCCTGCTTCTGCTGGGTGGCTGCCCAGCACTGTGGGGGTGGGGGCAGAGTACCAAGGATCATGGTGATGCACCAGGAGGCGCCACTTATCATCCTTCTGCCTGAAACTCTACACTTGTGGCATTTTTAGAGCAGCCTCCCAGACAACTCCAATTTAAACAGGTTTGATTACAACATACAGTATATACAGTATATCTAGCTACCGGTGTGGCTGCAGGACACGGAAGGCTGTGATAAACTGGACTCTGAACCACCGCTGGCTTGGACAGGATCACAGTGCTAGATGGGAGCAGAAACACAAGCATTTTTTTAATCATTATGGTTTTCAGGTCAGAGCCGGGGAAGCAGCTCAGGTTGGATAGCAAGTTCTCACTTCTTTCACTGAAGCAAAAATGGCAGCCTTAGCACTTCTCTCCTGCTTGACCTGCTCAGGATTCAGGCACTGGGCATCATTCCTCAGGTAGGGCTTCAGGTCCATCCCCTCATACTGATCACCTCCGATGTGGTGAAAGGTGGCGTCCAGGACTCGGGGGAGGATTCCTGGCTCTTCTGGGGTTCCTAGGACATGGCAAAGGAAGGTCACAGGACACCGGTGACTCACTGTAAAGTGCGTTACAATGTTGTTGCGTCCCCACTGTTACCTTGGATTGTGAAGGTTTTCCCAGCATTAGTTACACCGTAGCTGAACATCAGCACATTCTTCCCATCCAAGAAATCAGACATTTGGCTTTGGACTGTATTCTCGTATAGCTCCGCCTGTGTCGTCTCCGGCCCAAAAATCTCAAAGCCAACAGAGAGAGAGAACATTTCCATTAACCTGTCTCGTTAACATGGTTGTTATATCTTGTAGAAATCATTTAAGTGACATGTTCTTATTTTTAGTGTCTGCTTTCTCTGCCTATGTGAAGCCCTCTGGGTTTGAAATGTGCTTTATAAAAATAAAGCTGGAGGAGAGAGAAAACACAGATGGACTCCCAGGGGCCCGGGAGGTCAGGGAGGCCTCGGGCCTCTGTAAGAAGTGACAGGTTTCTAGTTTGAATGTGACACAGCTCAGTTAAGACAAAACAACCACAATGACATAAACCAAATAGAGATGACAAAATGACCATAAAAGTTGATAATCTCCATTAACAACCACAAAGATGTAAACTGTTGACAAAAAAAGACTGAACAATAAAGTCAACACACACAACACAGTGACAGTCTCTGGGGTTTTATGTAGGAGGGGTAGGAAAGTCATGTTTGTGCCTATCTAGAACGTCAGTGTGCTGATCCAGAGTGTCTGAGAACTAAAACCGGGTCAGACAGTACTTCGGTGATTTCAGCCAGCGCCGACCTGTGAGAAGGAGAACCTGTGGGCCGTCGTGCCAACGCCCTTCTCACTGCTCTTCATTGTGGCAGAACCTCTCGGTGCATTCAGTGTCACCGTCTGGCTGCTTTCAATCACCACACAATCCTAAGAGGAAACAGGAGCATCAGATTACAGCCCAAACAAAACAGGACAACGCCAGTGGAGCTGTGAGCACCAGCAAAGTGAAGGAGTCACCATGGGTCTGGAGCAGGCAGAGGACTGTTGGGGAGGCTGGGAGAAGGGGAAACATGGCGGTGAGTAGAGGAGGCTTTAACTTCTCAAGATCAAAGATTTTTTATTGTCAATTCACTATATGTTCAGGACATACAGAAAAATCGAAATACCATTTCACACTCACCTAATTTTGAATGCCCATACCATTTAAGAAACTAAAATAGAATAAAAGTAGAATAAACAGAATATGAAAACTGAATTCAAGTAATTCTCCCTGATTTTTTGTAAGATACCAAAACACTTCCATTAACAAGTTTTGTTTGCTCCATGGTGCAAAGAGACACATTTTCCCAGGAGAGGACCCTGGATGTTCACAGTTCTTAGTGACTACATCTCTCCAGCATCGGTGATAATTTCATCTATAAACTTCCTCTTGTGTCTGTGGAGCTGGTCACATTGACTGTCATGACTGGGACTAGATGGACTGGACAACACTGCACCTGGTCCTGGTCGTCACAGAGCTCCTGTCTGGAGAAGGGCCGCACTCGGAGGTAAACTCCCATGGCCTGTTGATCAGCACCACCTGGCACATCAGGCTACGAACACAAAAGAAGACAATGAGCCCAGAAACCAGCCCCGGTGCGGCACAATGTTCAGGGCTTAACTAAAAACATTAAACACGAACATAACAACTCCTTCCACAGACTTAAAACGCCCACACAGGTTCTTAAAATGACTACAAGAGACTAAACACTAAAGACAGCAACAACAAAATGCCCATAGACGACGTAACTCCTCTGCGTCCAGAGACTGGTTGTCTCATAATCCAAACACGACAGAAGATGAAGTGAGACCGTTACCTGCTGGACTGAAGTGCCGACAGGAGGAAGACTAATCGTTAAGTCCATGTCGTTAAACTGTTGCTGAGAAAAGCAAGGAAAACTCACACCGCTACCACCGAGCGCCAGTAGTTTTAATTTTTCTTCTTCTTCTGTTGCTGCTTCTTCTTCCTCTGCAGCAGACGAAACGCAGCTCAGGCGTAATGCTGCCCCCACTGGTCGTTTTCAGATTCCTGCCCATGCATGCAGCCTCTGTCCGCTAGGGCTGGACCTGCTTGAGGGTCCTGAGGACATTTGCACATCTCATCAGAAAGGCTTCTTCTGTTCTGAGCCAGCCACTGCTTCAGGTACGTGGATCACACACACATACAGGGAGCCCAGAGGAAACAGTCCAGATCTCCCAGACTTAGTGGTGCACATCCCAGAGGACAGAAACTTCAACATAGACATAGACACTGAAATTTCCCCATTGAGGGGTCAATAAAGTGCCTACCTACCTACCTAGATGTGCACAGGATGCCCCGCACAAACCCGCACCAGTAGCTCCATCCAACGCTACAAGGAAAAGATGCGTGTCCATAGAGGCACTGTAAGTTTCACATGATGTTTCACTGACTTCTATAGGTCACGGTAAAGGACGGATTAATACAGCGTAAATAAAATGTTTATCCATCGTGCACTTTGGTGACTATTATTCTGCTTCCAACAGTGTTGATGTGGAGTTTTCAATAAATCTGTAAAAACAGTTTTCTGCTTCTTCTTCTAATAAGGAGTCACAATATAAAAGCATTATTTAGTCATTGTGTTACAAATCAATTAGAAGTGGTGTTTCTGAACGTGTATAGACACATGTATTATCTTTCACTCCAACAGGTCCTGTCTGTGGTTGAGTGGAGCTCTGCTGCCCCCTGCTGGGGGTTGGCCGCTGCTGCGCTCTGAGTTCATCCTGGAGTCACTTTCTCAGACTAAACATTGCCACTGAGATCTGCTGAGGGAGGGGTGATGTACATGTCTAACAGCCCACACTGCCACTGATTTACAGACTTTTACATGTTTTATTCTGAGTTTAATCCTTCACTGACTAATCTGTGTGATCTAGACTTCACTGTGTTTGTTTTACAGTGACAGCGTGAACTGCATCTGTTCCACAGCTTTGGGATTATAGTCTAAGACAAGGGTGTAGTGGGAGGTGGAGCCGGTCAGTGTCATGTGTCTGTCTCAGAGGACAACTCGTTTGATGAATATTACCTCACCACAGCTGGAACATCTCGTTTATTCATCCGTGAACGTCACATCTGTGAGGATCCTTCAAACTTTACTGCAGTGAAACAAAGACTGGCTGAGCAAACTGTAAGTAAACAGGGCAACGTTAAACTATCGGGAGAAGTCTAATTGAAATGAATCAAGAATCAGAGCCGGTATCCACAGGTTACTCAATAAAGTGGCAGCAACAAGCAGAGAACTGGTGGTAATGTGGACTGGTCTCTATAGTCGGTTGTTGTGAACTCTGTTGGGAAGCAGAAACTGTCCAACATGTAGGAAGTATCAGTGGTAAAGGTTTGATTTGATTTGATTTATTTATTCTTTCAAGCATATAAAACAGTTGATATAACAACACACATTTTTACACACAATCCAATATCAATTTGCTTATACCTAGTACATGCTTGAATGGAGTAGGAAGAAGTCAGACTTATCCAGTCCTACCCCATGACATCATCTTACCATCATTGGTTTACAAGCAGTATCTCTACATAAATAATTCTCTTCTACACCACACAAGTAATATACTAAAGAATTATAACAAGAATGTTAACATTCTTACATAATTACATTCTTAAATAATTATCTTCTACACCACACAAGTAATATA